GGCCCTCCTGTTCTCATGGCTTCTTCCTGCAGCTGGGGACCCCTGCCCACCTCTCCATCCATGTGTGCCAAGAGCTGTATATGTTTTCTTCCTCTTGTCTTTCCTCCAGAGTCATTTCCTAAGAAATGACTGTGTTGTAGATAAGAAAAAAAAAATTTTGACCACCTTCCCCTGTGAGACTGACCCATTTCAAAAAGACTAGAAACAAGTGTGGATATAAAGGACCCCTCCTCATACACTGATGGTGGGAATGTAGATTGGTCCAGCCCCTATGGGAACAGTATGGAGGTTTCCCAAAATAGTAAAAATTGATCTAACATGATCCAGCAATGCTAATCGCCTAGATATCTACATGAAGATCACAAAAACAATATTTTGAAGGGATACTTGCATGCCAGTGTTCGTTGCAGCACTATTTATAATAGCCAAGTTAGATGAGTGCATTAAAAGACGTGGTCTTTTTCAGAGATGCCCCTCCCAAAACCAAAGCCTTGGCAAAAATTTCAAAGGTCCAGACAATAGTGCTGAAAAGCATTCACACACACAAAAGAAATTACAGATCACCCATGTTTTGATGACCCAAGACCTTGCACCTTCAGGAGAAACAGGCTTGGTGATGTCAGCTCCCCCCAAGCACCAGAACAGACAGATTTTGAAGAAGGTCTGTGACCTTGACAACATCAAGGTCAACACCTTGTTCAGATCTGGTGAAGAGAAGAAAGCATATGTTCCTCTGGCTCCTGACTATGATGCTTTGAATGTTGCCAGCAAAATTGGGAACATCTAAATTGAGTCCAGCTGGCTAATTCTAAAGATAAATTTTTTTTTATCATAAGAAAAGAAAATGACGTATACTTGCACAATGGAATACTACTTAGCTATATAAAGAAAGAATCTTGCCATTTGCATCTTGGATGGAACTGGAGGGGATTATGCTAAGTAGAAATAAATCAGAGGGAGAAAGAAAGCCGGATGACTACACTCATGTGAAAGGAATATAGAGAAATAAAACAAGGGACAGAGAAACTAAACCAAATCAGAACCTAGCAACCTGACTATAGACTTGAGGTGACCAGAGTTGGGAGGATGGGGATAGGAAGGATTGAGAGGGGAGGGGCCCAGTGTATGTAGAGAATTATGGGTCCCTGGGTGGTGGGCATGATGTGGTAACAGAGATCTGAAGAGGGGTTAGTCTGTACCCCTAAGTCATATATGGTGTTGTAAACCAATATTATCTCAATAAGAAAGAAAGAAAGAATAAAGAAAAAAAATCTCCAGTGGAGCAGAAGTTTCCTTTTTCATGTCTGCCAAAAGCCAGGCACTTGGAGTTGAAGTGTCCATAGTAACTCCAAGGCCAGGACTTTTCACTGGCCTCCTGTGGCTTGCAGACACTCCCCTTGTTAGGGGGAAAGGATGTTCTGAGCTAATTCCATGCAGGCTTTGTGGACCCCACCCCCACTCCAGACCAAAGCCATCAAGACATTGGGAAAGACAAATCCCATCACCACCAAAGGGAAGATTGCTGGGACCTGAGGGTGGAGTTAAGCATCCAGGTTGGGTATAAAAACCAAACACGTGGGCCTTGGGGGCTCTCGCTCTGTCACTCGCCTCCTGGCTTCACGGCTCCTGACTCGCGGCCAGCTCTCAGAGCGCCATTTGGGATTCCAGGTCGGCGGATCGGGTAGGACGCATTTAAAACTTTGTCTCCCACTTTTCTCCCTGAGTTGTACATTTCCTCATTTGCCCTTCCCTTGTAAATAAACCTTTTATTAACCTTTCGCGTGTGCCTGCAGTAGAGCATTGATAAGTCCTTTTAAGCGCACGGGTGAGGACCCACAGTCAGGCACCCCGTTTTGTGTTGGGGCTGCCCTATAACAGTTTCGCACCCAACGTGGTTTCCAAGTTACACCCACAGTTGACCAGCCCAAAGTGGGTCCAGTCTCCAGTGTCAGCCTGGACTGGAGGACTCTCTGCTGAATCTCTGCACCCTGTAGGAACTACTCTGTCTGAGGGCACCACTGAACCTGTAGCATTTTCCTAGAGGTGAGGGCACCCATGCTGGGGGCAGAGAGGAGAAGCCATGTGGGAGTGGCCCCTGTCTGCTTTCCCTCTGGTTGAGCCTAGAAGCTACACTGCCCCCAGCACGCCCGGGTCCTGGACCTCACCAGCTGCTATAGGAGCCATGCTGGGGCCTGAGGCACCACTGGGTCAGCAGAGAGCAAATGCTTCATGCGTGCTGGCCGCCCCAGGAGTCCCAGGTAAAGCTGCTGAAATTGCCTTGGGCATCCCTCTCGTGAAATGCTTGTGTATGGGTGCTCTGAAGTTGCTCCAGATACGTTTGTGAATAAAGTTGAAGTTGTTCTCCAGAAGGAACCCCCTGTACAAGCCTGGCCTCTGAGGCGTACATACCTGGGAGGTTCCCTTGCCTGAGTCTTCTGTGCATCTTATGACTGGATTGGGGTGCTTACCGAAGTGGATGGAAACTGGGAGAGACAGGCAGAATTCTGTGCATGTCCAAGGGACCCAGGGCTTAATGAGTGCAGAGTGCTTGGCACTGGCAGATCTGTCCCCCTTTCGCCTCTATTGTCCAAGTCCACACAGCCTTCCCTGCCCTCATCTTGACTCTCTACACACACCTTGCATAGATGCCAGTGGAGAACAGCTTTCTTCGTAAAGTGGGTATTGACCTAAGATCCCACCCACTCGCCATGATTTAACTTTTCACTCATGGTGGATAGTTGTTTGTTTCAAAGTCCTGCTTTTACAAACCCATCATTTTTTGCTGGTGCCTCATCTCTCCATTTCTGTGATTCAAAGCATGTTCCATTGGAGAGTGTTGTTTTGTGGCCTCAATTCTAATGCCCCCGTTTTGTGGAACTTAAAGCCTAGAATGTTCCCCGGGTGCGTTGGTGGTAGGGCACTTCTGTGGTGTGTGAGCTGTAGGCTGGAGTAATTAGTGAAAGGTTCGGCAGAGTAAAGAAAAGGAGAGCCAGGCTAAATTTCTCAAAGGAAGGGAAAATTTTATTGCGCCCCAGGCGGACCTCACAGACCCAAGGTGGGGGTCCGGGAAGCCGCTCCCGTTGTGAGGAGAGATGTCTCTTTTATGGGGTGAGGAGAGGTCAGGCAGGAAAACTGGGTTGGTAGGGGGGAAACAGGTTTAGGTGGAACTAAGTTGTTTTGGGTGGAGCCGAGTTGTTTTCCCCTGTTTATGGCTTTAGTTTAGGCTTGATGATATCAGTGGTCCTGGTGTCAGGGTCATCTTGTCTTTTTCTATGTGGGCTTCCTCATTCCTGGCCCCTGCATCGACCTTTCAATTAGCTGCCAGGCTGCTCCAGGTTTCTATTAGCAGCTTAGTATCTGGGCTGAAATAGAGTCAAAGTGGAGGAACCATACTAATTATAAGTCCTGTAATAGCCACAATTTATTGCATGCTTCCTATCATTTAGGCACTTTTTCGGTGACGTGCCAAAGCTCACATCATAAATCTTCACAATAATCAGGGAGACTGTTATGAATTTTACAGGTGAGAAAACTGAGGTAGAGAGAGGTTTAGCAACCCACCCATGCTCAACTGTCTAGTTAGCGCTGATTCGGAGCGCTTGTCAGAATGGTGAGCTGCATTGCTGCCTGGGGTCAAGGATGTTGACATTGGCTCAGTAACTACTTGCCTGAGATCACACAGCTAGTAACAGGGTCAAGATGCAAACAAACCCTCTCTAAACCACTCCTCTCTCTGGTCACAGGCAAAGGCTGGGAGGTGGAGCCGGCCCCTGGGAAGCATCACACCCCAGGCTTTGGTTTTGTTGTAGAGCAACCCCCATGACATCATTTCCCCCTAACAGTTTCACTAATTAAAATATAACTATACTAAAGGAAATGATTAACAAATCAATTGCTCTCTTAAATTCATTTTCCTCTGTTCCTTCTCAGTTCTTTGTTATGTAGCATTAATTCTATGGTTCTCATTTTATATTATTGGACACAATTTCATGCTATCGTAAGTCTTAACTCACTTGGCCATAGCATTTGTGCTTTTGGGTTGCTTCTCTTAGTATATATCTAGAAGTAGGTTTGGAATGATTTAAATGTTACCTAGTGTTTTATCATTTTGTAGCCATCAGCAATACCACACTAACCTCAGTAACATTTGGTTTTATATACATATACAAACCTGTTTTAGTAAACAACAAAATAGTATGGTCCAGCCTTTAAGTTTGCATTTTTTAAACAAGCAGAGATATTGAGTATTTTTCATATTTAGACAGCATAAAAATAACCTTTGTCGGGCCTCCCCTGGGGGCGCAGCGGTTGAGAGCTGGGCTGTGAAGCTTCCTGCAGCCTCTGCAGCACCGGTTTGATCCCCGGCCGCCAGCGAAGGTCCCACATGGCACGCAGACCTCTCCTGCCACGCCCGCTGCTCCCCTCAGCAGTATATTTCATCAGTCTGCTGTTCTGTTCCCTGCTCTGGTTCTGGTGAATTCTCTCACCCTCCTGTGCTTCTGACTGTACCCAGTGCTTGTATAAATAAATAAATCTTAAAAAAAAAATTTAAAAAACAATAACCTTTGTCTTGGTTGATAGTGTAATTTCTCCCAGTCTATTTCCCCCCTTTTAGTTGTAGTGTTTTGTTTTTTCCCCCAGATAACTTAATCTTAGGGAATTTCAAATATACACAGAAGTAGACAGATTAGTTATCACTCCCATCTACCCATCCTCATTTTAGGGACTCATGCCCAGTTTTTTCATTCATACTTTTATGCAAATTCCCCTTTCCTTATTATTTTAAAGCAAAGTTATTTTCAGGTAAGAAATCGTTTATAATCATGACTATTTTACTATCTCTAAAAGAACTAAGCAGCCACCTTAGAGAAGGGGTGAAGGGTCAGCCTTGATACTTCCGGAGTCTGAGAGGGGATTCTGTTTGGAACTTGACTGCCCAGGAGAGCAGGAGGAGAAGAGGGCTTCTTGAGCTGTGTCCTTATAGCTTTATGCTCTTCCAGGTCTGTTTGGCACCATGAAGCTACACCCAGCCTTCCCCAGCTGCTTCCTGCTGACGCTGTTCTGCATATGGACCATCACTCCTGAGGCTCAGCTTGTGTCCACGGGGACACCGGCCATCAGTGCAGCCTCTTTCCTGCAGGATCTCATGCATCGTTATGGGGATGGGGAGAGTCTCACCCTGCAGGAGCTAAAGGCCCTACTCAACCACCTGGATGTGGGAGTGGGCCGGGATAACATCAGCCAGCCTGTGCAGGGACAGAGGAACCTCTCCACAGTAAGGCCCCTTGGCTCTGCTGGGTCCTGTCTCTGCCCTGGGGGTGTGGGGGGCTCACAGTCTAGTTGGGCATGGAGCTGAGCAGATCAGGGTGGGTAAGTTTGAGCTGGTAGGTCTGAGTCTGTAGGCTGGCCTCCTGGGTGGGTGTTTGAAACCCTTACTGAAGGGTCATGGAAAGTGGGGGTTCTCTGAGAGCTGTGCAGGGATCATCTGGATCTGCAGGTAAGCTGGAGCTCCCAGGCTGGGACAGCTAATATTTATTTAAAAATTCATCTGAGTCAATTTGGACTCATGGCTGCCTCCAGTGGAAGGGTGCTCCCAGAGGTTGGGTAAAATGGACAGGTTTTTTGTTTTTTTTTTATGATTTATTTATTTATGCATACAAGAGCTGGGATATAGGCCAGAGGTGCAGGGGGGTGAGAGGAGAGGAGTCACCATAGACAGAGTGGGGAACAAAACAGACAGACTGACCAAAGTACAGTGCTGAGGAGAGCAGCGGGCGAGTCAGGAGAGGTCTGCTGCGCCATATGGGTAGCTCCCTGGCCGGCCGGGCATTGAACTTGTGCTGCAAAGGCTGCGGGCAGCTTCATAGTTTGTGTCTTAACCCCTTGAGCCACCCGGGAGGCCCAAAATGGCAGGAGAGTGGGATGAGGGTGTTAATGGGATTATTTCAGCAAGGTTACCTTCCCTTAAGGCAAGGCAGGGAGTCTTATCTGGCAAGGTACCTCACTAGTGTTAATGGAATCTCTAGACAGATTGGTTTAAAATTCCACCCCCTGGGAGTGGTTAACTGTGGTTAGATTAGCCTTGGTGGGACTTAGCATAGGTCCTGTTTTGGGGGTTGGTTCCTATTTACTCTTTTTAACCTATTTCTAATAGAGTTTACAGTTTACAAAGGCCTTTGCCCATTATCTCAGGTGAGCCTGGCAGTACCTCTAGGTACAGGTGGAAAATCTTCATTTGCTAGGAGAAAATACCGAGGGTCCCTCAGTGAGTTGAGGGACCATATCTTCTTGGCCAATCAGAGTCTGGGGTTATTTGTAGCAGCCAAGTATGTCAGGCAGCAACATCTTTATATTTAATCTACTTTGTTCCCAGTGCTCACTGTTGTGAGAAATAGAGAAAGATGAGTCATGTTTAGGGAGTTTACTGTCAAGATAGGAGCTTAACCAACTGAGACAGTTATCTGATATTAAAATGAAGTTCTAAATGTAGGGTTTAAAAATAAGGACGACCAGTTTGCAGTAGAATAGATACAGAAGCTTCTAGGGTGGGGTGTCCTGGGGCTTCACCTTAAAGGAGAGGAGAATCTAGAGAGATCAAGTGGTTGGAGAATCTAGAGAGATCACGTGGCAGCACACAGAACCCCTCGATGCCACTGTACCTGACCCCAGGGGGTTCTGTAGACTCAGAAACACACCCAGAAGACTGACTCTTTTAGAGACTGACCCACATGAACCCAAAAAAGTACAATGCAGTCCTTGAGGAATGTTGTCTGAGGGCCCTCCCAAGGGGCCTGAGAACTCATGCCCACTGGTCAGCCCGAGGTGCTTGCTCATAGCTGACTTTGAATCTTTAGATCTCCCTCCCAACACATTCTTTAGATTGGAGACTATACTGCATAACCAAAACAGACATATTCCCCTATGGGCGCCAGTGCTCAAGATCTCTGGAAAGGGTCTGAAGTCTGCATTTTAACCTTACAGCTTCCAGGGGTATTGTGATGTTCAGCCAGATAGTGTCTGGATAAAGCTTTGTCTTCAGCTATGCAAGTAGACTCCTTTGTTCCAGAAACCACACCCTAATCACTGATTAGAATTCAGTTGTTTCCAGAACTCCTCCTCAAAGGGGTGTGCATATGGTGAGTGACTTTGGCTAGGTGACTGATTCCTGCAATGACATCTGTTTTTCAAGTTTAGGAATTACTTTGCCTCATCCCTAGAGATATAGTCTGCAAATTGCCCCAAATTTGGGCATTTCTATCTTCTCTTTCTTTTTTCCCTCTTGGAAGAGTGAGTTGCCCTTATTACAGAGCAAGGTGTGGCCGGGTTCTAAGAGGTGTCCTGCCCCCTCCCACTTTGTTTCAGTGCTTTAGTTCTGGAGACCTCTTTGCTGCCCACGAATTCAGTGACCAGTTGAGGATCGGAAAGAGTGACTTCCAGAAATTCTGCCCCACCATCCTCCAGCAGCTAGACTCCCGGGCCTGCTCCTCTGAGAACCAGGAGAATGAGGAGAATGAGCAGACAGAAGAGGGGAAGCCAAGTGCAGTGGAAGGTGAGTCTTGTTCCCATGCTTGTCCTCACGCTCAGCCAGCTGCTGTGAGGCTGTGCTTACTGCTGTGCTCTGGGCAGCCGTGTGGCTGGTGACTGTGTGGTGTGGTACCTTTGGACCAGCCTGTGGATGCTTTTTTTTTTGATTGCTTTGCCTTTTTAGTTTTTATTAAACCACAAGGGAGCTCCACCTTGGTTTTTAGTTTCTCATTTAAAACCTCACCAAGTCTGCCTTTCATGCTTCTCCCTCTCCTCTGCCGGGCACCTCTGCTCCAGCCGCAGTGGACTTAACCGTGATCAGCAGTGTCCCCAATTCCCTAGGCCTACAGTGTGTCCCCGATTCCCTAGGCCTACAGTGATTGCCCTGTTGAAATCATGGGGTGCAGTGCAGGTATGCTTCCCAGCCCTGGCCACCTGCACAAGCGTCCCCCCCGTTGTTGCCAGCTGCCATTATTAACTCCCAGACTGTTAAACCCTCCATTGTTTTTAACCTCCACCCAAAAGGTAAACTCCTTTTGTTTAGCAACTTTGATGTATTTTTTTAGCCTTTCTCCCAGTACCCAGTAAGAGGCAGATTCAACCAATATTTATTACTGGGTGGTGGGTCTCTGCCCTGATCGCAGGCGAATCTGAACAGGCCTCCCAGGCTAGCCTGAGCGCCCCTACCCTTGGTAACAGAGGCCCTCGTCTGTTCTTGTTCCTCCACAGTGTGGGGCTTTGGTTTCCTCAGTGTCTCACTGATTAACCTGGCCTCTCTCCTGGGAGTCCTCGTCCTGCCATGCACGGAGAAAGCGTTTTTCAGCCGTGTGCTCACTTACTTCATCGCCCTGTCCATTGGAACGCTGCTCTCTAACGCGCTCTTCCAGCTCATCCCAGAGGTGCAGTAGAACAGAAATGTGCGCGTCCTCTTTCCCTGGGGTGTCCCTAGCTGACGCCCGCCCGTCCCTGACAACTAGCCACCTGAAAAATTAACTTCTTCATTTTCTCAAGGAACACAAATGACCTTACTCTGGATCTCAAAGGCCTTCTCTCACTCCGGGGCACCAGATTTGCCTCTGGTCTCTTCGGGTGAGGTCAGGTGCAAGGCTTTTAGTGGTCGCCCTCTCTGCTGGGGGTCCCTCAGTCCCCTTCCTCAGTTGCTGCCCAGGGCCCTCTCTTCTAAGCAGAGGCCCTGGTGCTACATTTAAAGCAGCCCATAACTTATAACATAGAGAACCAAACAAAGACCAACGTCTACTTCACAAAAATAAAGTTAAAATCACCAAATAAAGGAGAAAGGGTGTTCATTCCTTCATGCCTTGCATCTTGACTTTTTCCTGATAAGACTGACTTCCTGGTGCCCTTACTTGACTGTTTTGAAATGTGTGATTTTGTTTTTTAATTGTGGTGACTGAGGAGCTAAAAAAATAAGACCCAAGGTGACCACCTCTCCACCCAGCCGGCGCGGGCAGGACCCACCGCAGGCAGTTCAGGCCTCCCGCCTTTGGGAGATAGAGACCATGTTGGCGGCCTCCCCAGCAAAGACTCCCCCCCCAAGAAAAGATGTCAGAGGAGATGTCCAGGACTTGCCTGCTCCTTCATAGTTAGAAAGGAAAATCTGGTGCACGGTGAACCTTTGCCATGTTGTTTCAGAATCCATGTGTGCCTAGCTAACACTCTAAGGGGGAGGCCTCATCTTGGGCTACTTTTTTTTCAGCTCCAGATATTTAATTTATTAATTTTTTAAAGATTTGGGATGAAATACCTTGTTGCCTATTGAATGGAAATACAATAATTGTACATGCTCCGCCCCTGTGTCGCAGGGCACACCTAGTCCTGGCTCAGTTTTGCCCTGCCCGGAGTGTGTGACACTAGAAAATGGAGGAAACGTTTTTGTGACGGGTGATTTTGGAACTCTGTTCTCTCTGCTAGTGCCCTCCCAAAGCAAATAGAGCAAACAACACAAGCAGAAAAAAAAAAATCCTAAGAAGTGAAGAAACTGAATTTTATCATCATGAGGCGGTTCATGTTTTCCGTCCCTTCTTCCCGCACTTGGGTCTGTTGTACCTCACACAAAGCCACCAAGTCAAGTCCAGATTCTGTGTGCATGCCCAGGCAGTGCGGAACAGATGTGCAAACAAACACACCAGCACAGTCTCCCTGGCTCGTTCCTGGATAAGAGAGCCTCAGAGTCCAAAGTCTGCCCCAGGTGGCCTCTGGAAAGGCCCGCACTCACCTCAGAGGTGTGATGAGGGAACACCCTGTCCCGCCAGTCACACCAGCTGGCAGACACAGATGCCACCAAAGAAATGGGACAGGGTTCCAAGGTCACCCTGAATTCCTCCTCATTTTTTTTTTCTTTTATTAAAAAATTAATAAATTGAAACTTGATTGAAGGAAATTTCATCAGACTTGAATCACTAACAAATTCTCTATTTCTCTCTCCCTCCCTGCTGTCTCTCTGATTTTCCTTCTGTGTTTCCTTTGTTAATCTCTACCAAAACCTCCCTTGTTGCTTCCCCATCCACTCCGCCTTCTTCCCTCCACTGTGCCTCGCGGCCTTCTCCCTGTCCCGGGGTGGGCTGGCTCTCCCCGACGGCAGTGTGGGGATACGGTCTCCTCTGTGTGACTGTCATCTCCCTCTGCTCCCTCATGGGGGCCAGCGTGGTGCCCTTCATGAAGAAGACTTTTTACAAGAGGCTGCTGCTCTACTTCATAGCTCTGGCGATTGGAACCCTCTACTCCAACGCCCTCTTCCAACTCATCCCGGAGGTATGGCAAGCTAGGAGCTCACACGGGAGCACGCTGTCTCCTGGGGGCGCCGCGGGGCCCAGCGGGAGGACCCTCCACTTAGAAGGAAGGCATGGAAAGGAAGTCCTCTTCCTTTCGGAAAATGAAGCTAAGTCTTAGGCTTGAGCTCAGAAGGGCAGCGCAGGGCTTTAGGGTTGAGAGCTGGGCTTCAAATCCAGCCCCACTGTGAGCAAGTGTATGACCTTCGGCAATTCTGTTACCTCCTGTCTAAAATGGAGGAAATAATAGGACTGACCTCATGACAATGATGTGACCTGTAACTGTGGATGAAAAGATGGAGAGTTTATAGCTCCCCTTTTGCGGCTCTGGGCACAGAGAAACATCAAACACATCAACAGAATTCTTAGGGCTCACTGGGAAGATCAGGTCTCCTCAGCAGGGCATTTGGGGACAAACAATCCAAATAAAAGGCCGACTTCCCATTTGGTAACGGCACTTACGCCCTTTCGCCGTGGCTAAGAGAAAATCCTCCACAGCGGAGGGAGTTCGGTCTTGGAAGTGTTGGCAGTCAGCCTTGGAGAAGCTTCGTCTGGTTTGCTGTTGTCTCTGCAGCAGACCTGCAAGCCCGGGTCACTTCCTCCTGGGAGGTCTGACAGGCCTGGACGTAGCGCAGTTGAGGCGAGGCCAGGATGATTCCTAAAGCAATGCTTCTGTGCTCTGCCGTCTTCCCTGGCTTCTTGTAGAGAGCTATTAGTTACTGTTTTCACTTCATTTTTTACTAAGATTTGACTCCCTTGGAAAGTTGACCCAATTATGTCCTTTCTACTTTAGAACTTGGCTTTCTGTGTCTCAAAAAATTATAAGCAGGAGGTAGGGAATCTCATTTTCGTCCCTTTATCACAGAAAGAAGAACCATTTGAGCAGCTCAGCGTTCCCTGTAGGTGTCACATTTACACGTCTGTTCACAAGGAGGCTGGACTTTATTCAAGGCCTGTTTCTGTCTGTAAACCAAATTGCAGGCCCTACCACAATCAAGAGCATCACTGAGGTGGAATGCTCTGTTTCCTACTCTCACCCTCTTCTGCATGGGTTCTTTTGTTTTGCTTGTTTTCTCCTTATAATAAGTGAAATTTTCAGAAAGAACCCAAAACCCCCAAAATTGACACATGCAGGAACACAGTCTGCTTTCTCGGCTTTGTGGTCAACTGGGAGGTCTGTGGTCAGGAAGATGCCACAATTCGTACTGGGGAATGGATTTCCTATTTTAGAAAGTATAATTACACCATCTCCCTTTGCATTCATGAGCAGATCATCCAAGGACACTAGACAACAGTGAAAATGCAGCGTCTTCTCCTTAAGCATGGAATTTACCAGCAGAGTCTGCCCCTCTAGTACACAAAACAAGATAGATGAAGACTGAGGTGTTATTAAACACAGAAAAGGGCTGTTCTTCCTGAAGATGAGCTGTCTTTTGCATCAGAAAATAAGCTGGAGAGAAAACCTAGTCGATCTCATAATGTACATAGACATGCAGGCAACCTCTGGCTGGAAAGGGGATGAGTAGGTGGCCCAGGCCTCCAGGCATCTCTCCTTCCTGAGAGGAAGTGACTAAGAGATGAGAGGGGACCAGTGAAGATTATTTTCTTAAACTCATTTTTTTTTTCCCCCTGGGTCCACAGGCTTTTGGTTTCAACCCTCTGGAAGATTATTATGTCTCCAAGTCTGCAGTGGTGTTTGGGGGCTTTTATCTTTTCTTTTTCACAGAGAAGATCTTGAAGATGCTTCTTAAGCAGAAAAATGAGGTGAGGCCCAGTTGCTGATAAAGGGAATGCTGCTGGGGCAGCATGCATCTCAAAGCAGGTCTGCATTTTGGTAGTAGTGTTCCCTCAACACAGCGAGCTTCCATGGTAGTCTCTGCCATGGATTAAAATCCACAAATTTCATGGTTAGAGATCTATCCCATGTCACCTCACAAGGATATTATTAGCAGGGTTTGAGGGCGGATGAGAAGCCAGGTCTGGCCTTTTATGAGGCAATAATTTATCCGCATTGGTTTTATCTAGGTTATTTCCTTATATGCCCTTTTGCCTTTAGGAGCTGGGCTTGTGGTGAGGGGGGTGGGGTGATGCCTACATTCAGCATGTATGGAATATGGCTGCAAAGAAATAAGATTAGGGCCTCCTTGGTGGTGCAAGGGGTTAAGACGCAACCTGTGAAGCTATCTGTAGCCACTGCAGCACAAGTTTGATCCCCAGCCAGAGAACTACCCACATGGCACAACAGACCTCTCCTGGCTTGCCCACTGCTCCCCTCAGCAGTGTATTTCAGTCAGTCTGCCTGTTCTGTTCCCCACTCTGTCTTTGGTGAATCCTCTCACCCTCCACACCTTTGGCCTGTGCCCCAGTTCTTGTACGCATAAATAAATAAGTCTTTTAAAAAAAATTAAAAAAAAGAAAAGAAATAGGATTGTTTGTTGTAAAATTGCCAAAAAAAGCTCTTTGGTATCTGGTATATGGTAATCCCCTAAATAGTTGCTAAATTGGATGAAATTAGCCATTGCAAAGGGAGGGGAGGAGCTTAACACAGGGCAGTGTGGCCTTCCAGGAATACCTGTCCTCTGCCATGCCCTGCTGTCACCCTGGCTCAGCTTTCTATTTATTTATTTATTTATTTATTTATTTATTTATTTATTTATTTTATATATACAAACACTGGGTACAGTCAGAAGCATGGGAGTGTGAGAGAATTCACCAGAGCTAGAGTGGGGAGCAGAGCAGGCAGAAGGACCGAAGTACACTGCTGAGGGGAGCAGTGGGCGTCAGGAGAGGTCTGTGCGCCATGTGGGACCCTCCTCCAGTGGCCAGGGAGCAGCCGGGGATTAAACTGGTGCTGCAGAGGCTGCGGGCAGCTTCGCAACCCCGCGCTCAACTGCTGCGCCACCAGGGAGGCCCTGGCTCAGCTTTTTAGAGCAGCTTTCTGTAGGCTTCTTACACGTTGCCTGCTTGTGTTTTCTCGGATGGTGGGAATGAGGTCTCCTCCAGTGCTTAGAGCACTTCCTCAGAGTGGGTGCTCAGTGGGTGGTTTGGGGAGTGTCATGCTGACCCCCCCCCCCCCGCATCCCCTCCAGCATCACCAGGGACACAGCCATTATGCATCTGAGACACTTCCTTCCAAGAAGGACCAGGAAGAGGGGGTGACAGAGAAACTGCAGAATGGAGATCTAGACCACATGATTCCTCAGCACTGCAGCGGTGAGCCGGATGGCAACGCCCCGGTGATGGACGAGAAGGTCATCGTGGGCTCGCTCTCTGTCCAGGTCAGTGGGACAGCCACTTCTCAGTGGGGTCTGCTAAGCAATAAGTGGCCTTGATGACTCAGTCTGCCTTGAAGGTTATTGGTTCGCCTCTGACCTGAGGGCCATGGGCCTGGCCTTTCTCATAGGATTTGCAGGCTTCCCAGAGCGCCTGTTACTGGCTGAAGGGCGTCCGCTATTCTGACATCGGCACTCTGGCCTGGATGATCACCCTCAGTGATGGCCTCCACAATTTCATCGATGGCCTGGCCATCGGGGCCTCCTTCACCGTGTCTGTTTTTCAAGGCGTCAGCACCTCAGTGGCCATCCTCTGTGAGGAGTTCCCACATGAGCTGGGTAAGCATGCACCCCTGTCCCACCGGTGTCCTTATGTGGCTGAGTACTTGCTGCCCTCTGCCCTACTTCAGAAAGCTTATTGTAACTAATCAGCACTATTCTAAATACTCAATATAGGTCATCTCTTAGGGCCTATCAAACTACTGAGCACTTCGCTGCATGTTGGAAGTCTGGGCGGAAGCAGCAGGAGCTCCTGAGCTTTATTGGAGGCAATGTTAAAAGCCTGCACTTCAGAGACTCAAGGTCAAATCCTAGCTTTGCTGCCATTTACTGGCTGGTGACCTTCCACAAATTACTTGACTTCTCTCAATCTCAGTTTTGTTCCAAATACAACATTTGTTGTCCTTGTGAGGGAGGAAGCTCCTTTTATTTCACCCTCAATCCAGAGAAAGGAAGCTATTGCTAGTTGGTCACCTTTTTTGAAAATGTTCAGCCTCGGAGCTAGAAGTAGAGAGCCAGTTTTATAAATGAAAACAACTAAAAATGGAGATGAGAGTTCCTTGGCCATGTCACTGTTGTCTTGAGTCTGGGCATGACCTGATTGTCACCCAAGCTTTATCCATCACCTCAGCAGTTTGCCTTCAGCCGGTCTCTGTTCTCTTTCCACAGGAGACTTTGTCATTCTGCTCAATGCTGGGATGAGCATCCAGCAGGCTCTCTTCTTCAATTTCCTTTCTGCCTGCTGCTGTTACGTGGGTCTGGCCTTTGGCATCCTGGCCGGCAGCCACTTCTCTGCCAACTGGATCTTTGCGCTGGCTGGAGGGATGTTCTTGTATATTGCCCTGGCCGATATGGTAAGTCTCCTGTAGTTTATGCCATGGAGGCAAGGCTAGATTGGATTATTACGTCAGGAACTGAAGCTTAGAGGACATTAGTTTGTTTCTAATAACAACTTTATTGCTGAATCATTCACATACCATGCAATTCACCTACTTCAGGTGAATTTAGTGCTTTTGAAGGAGACATCAGATTTTAAAGAAGGAAAACTTTGTGTTCCTATTAGCATATGTAATTAAAGACAATGATTAAAGTCAACTCCAGGGTCCTTACTTAAATATTATAGAATGTATTTATGGATAAATGAAAAGAAGGAAAGAGGGAGAGAAAGAAGGGAAGAAAATTACCCATAATCTCCCCTAAAACACCATCACTTTGGTGTTGTTTTATGGGTTTTGTTTTTTTAATCTCAGTGCATTTTGTCTTTTTAATAACCTGTAATCACACTGAAAATACAATTTTATATCCTGTTGGTTTTTTTAAAGGTTTATTTATACATACAAAAGCTGGGGTACAGGCCAGAGGTGCGGGGGGTGGGGGTGAGAGGATTCACCAGAGACAGAGTGGGGAACAGAACAGGCAGACTGACTGAAATACACTGCTGAGGGGAGCAGTGGGCGAGACAGGAGAGGTCTCCTTTGCCATGTGGGTTGCTCCCTGGCTGGCCGGGGATCCCCGGATGCCTGCAGAGGCTGCAGATTGCTTCACAGTGCGGTGCTTAACCCCTTGCGCCACCAGGGAGGCCCTATCCTGGTTTGTTTTTGTCCTTAGTATATCATCGACATTTTTCATGTTGCATACATCTTAAAAGTACCCTTTCAGTGGTGGTATTAGGCAAGAGGCTGTACCTTCTGCAGAACTAGAATTGCTGTCTCAGAAGGGAAGCCCAGTTTGAGGTTTTTAATATGTATTGCCAGATTTCTTTCTGAAAGGGCTTAATCTTTCTGCATCATTGGCAATGTCTGAAAGTACCTTATGCCTGTAGCATTTGGTTTAACCATATATTTTGGTATAACCACATTTTGAATTTGCCAGTGAAATACCTGATTTGTTACAGCTTTTGCATGACTAACAAGGTTGATTTCCTTTCATGTTTGTTGGCATGACATGTTCTTGGCATGTTTGCCTGATATTTTTCCATATCTTCTGAAAATAGTGTTTTTGATGAAATGACAGTAGCTGAGCTCCACCGTCCAGACTCACCCCATGAAAGCACTGTAGTTCTCTCATCCTGTGTGGAGCCCGCCCCAGTTTTACTTGAATTAGAAGGTCTCCTTTCTGGCCCCCGACACAGTCACTCAATTTCCCAAAGATGTGACATCATTTTGGTAGCAAAGATTTTTTTCAAGTGTTTTTGAAGTCCAGCATAAAAGGTTTATTTTTACCAAAGCCACTATTTTTAACCAATTTCTAGACACATCCAGAGTTGTTCACATAGTGTGACCTCAGCAGTGGTAAAATAGTGGTAACCACCTTGGAGAAAGGCAGCTATACTCAAGTTCTAGAGGCTATTATTAGTTTTCTTTGTAAACCAATTCTATCTATGTTCATTATATATCTTAGATAATAGTTATATACTGTTGTGTAGATTATCGACTATTGCAGTAATTGGCATAACACACTTGTTACTGTTTCAAATACTAGAATAATAACAAGTAGTATAGCAGTTACTTGATGTACTGTATATAGCGCACTGGACTGCCCTGAACTTAGGAAGTCCGGAAAGGAACTATAACTCTCTCGTTTTCTCTTCTGTCACAGTTCCCTGAGATGAATGAGGTCTCTCAAGAGGACGAAAGGAAGGGCAGCGTCTTGGTCCCCTTTGTCATCCAGAACCTGGGCCTCTTGACTGGTTTCACCATCATGCTGGTGCTCACTATGTATTCAGGGCAGATCCAGATTGGGTAGGGCCTGTGGTTGTCCAGGCCCTGGCCCGAGGACTCTGCATTCACAAAGCCCCTCGGAAGAGGCAGTTCTATTCAAAACTGACACGGACTGTATTCCTGCATTCAAATGTCAGCTGTTTTTAAAATGCTCTGTCCTAGGAATAAGCTGCCCTGGTAACCAGTCTCTAGGTCGACCTCTCCTCTCCTTTCCCTCTTTCTCAGAGTGACTCGGGAACCCGAATATAGCTTCGAAGACCAGCCTGTTTTCTCCGGTTATCCTGCCCTTTCTCATCCAACCAGCACAGAGAGACTTTGAATCCTTTGCCCACCCAGTGGTCATAACCTGGTTAGAACTATCACGGGGTCAATATAGTTTGGGGCCCATGAATCTTGATGTGCACCCTCGACATCAAGGTGACCCCTTTAGTAGTGGATTCACCTATTTTTTCAAAGTTTATTCAGTTGCCTGTTCTCTCAAAGAGAAATGGGACAGATGAGTGGGCAGGAGAAGCAGGGCCTGTCGTGAGTGCAGAAGTGGAGGCCACACATGAGTCCTGTCCTGATGGTGACTTCTGTGCATTGGGACACCGGGTGTCACTTTTGTGGCTGTACTTGCTGACATGACTGTCCAGGTGAACTAGCAGGTAGCTTTGGTCATGCAGGTCTCCCCTTCTTTCAGATTAACACAGACAGAACAAGAGGCAGAGAAGGGAGACCTGCAAGCCCTCGGTTTTGCCATGATTCCCACCTCCCCTTCCCCACTTGCATCTTCTGGGAGACTTTTCTGCTGCCTCCCCCTAGAAGCACACTCTGAGCACATTCCCAAGGCTGGTCTTGGCGGGGAGATGGCACAAATGGACAGCCCGGGTCAGCATGCCCGCTGCAACGTGGCAGGTTGGCTCGTAGAACTGGAGTGCAGCTCGTGGTCTTCTCAGACAAGGGTAATCAGGAATGAAATCAGTGCAGACACAGTGTAGGATTTGTTAGTTCCTTAAATAAAAGTACTGGGGTGCTGCAGGGGTGTGCAGAACAGGAGACCCATGGATTGTTCTGCGATGGGTTTTCAGTGGCACTCTATAGGTTACCCCACCCAAGGAAGGGCAAACCCTGTGTTGTGTTGAATATTAACTGCTCTAATCCTCTTAAGAAAATGGATGGATAGGCTTATCTGTGAGACTGTAGACCAGCCTCAGGCACTGTGGAGCCCTCTCCTCGGAACTCTGGCTTCGAGGGGAGCTGATCTCCAGGTTCACTAGGTGAATTGATTTATTATTATCATATTGATATGTGAGTTTCTTTAGCCACTTTGGGGAGCCGATCTCTCCAGAAGCCTTTCTTAGTGGTGCCCACAGTTGCAGCCTGGGGGCTGTGTTTGCAATCTGACGTGTGTGTGGCTGAGCACTGGCTCGAGGCCAACACCTGCGTGTGTTTCTGTTCTTGCACAGAAGAACTTAACACTATACCCACTAATTAAACACAGCATCTATTTTGTTTTTTTTCTTCTTGGGGAACATCCCTCAAACCAGGAATTTTCTTAAAAAGAACATGAGCAGGAACTCACGACTGGTGATGCTCCTCTAAGTTTTTCTCCCATCTTGCTTGTTGATTTTGATAGATTTGAGAATGGGCTGAAGAAGGAAAATTCTCAGTTATCAAGATTCTAGAGGAAGTATCAGGACTAATTTCTGGTAGGATTATGGTCCAGTTTTACCAAAGAATCAATTCCTTGAATGTTGGAATCGAACTTTTTATCGTGTCATTATCATGAGTTACATTTGAAAAATGACTCTTTGTCTTTCCTGTTTTGTTTTTCTCAAACTGCTTTCAGGAGCTCCAGAAAATAACACTCAAACTTTACGGCTTTAGAAGATTTTGCTTTCCTTAATTCATATTGATGATGTATTAAATTTATCATTTTTTAGCATTCCCTATGGATCTGTCATTCCTTCTAAAGACCATTATTCTTGGAGTAGAACATTAAGTTAGAGTTAGTGGGCTTCTAGTTTAGGAGAAGAATGCAAAAATATAATCTTTGATAAAGTAAAACATGAAAAATGAAGTAGCAGGGTGCTTCCCCATTTTTTGCTCATCTCTGTTAAGAACTAGACTTCTCTAGACAGTTGCCACAAAGGGAAATTCTCTTCAAACAGTAATTGGTCCAGAGGCCAGTCCTAGTTGGAGCTGAGGAGGGGCGGAGACTCTCATTCATGCAACTGATTGTATATTGCTTCTGGCAGTAGATTTGCCTCATGAATTGAAAGTGTAGCAATTTCTCTTTGACTTTTAAGTGTTGAATTTGCTGTTTTAAGCATTTGTACATATAAGAAGTCTGAGGAATGGCAAGTTTGAGGAACTTTCACCCTTGACATTAGCATCTTCAACCTCTCGTTCCCCAGATGAACCAGCTCTTATTAGCCTTAGCAAGAGAGGTGTAAGTCACATGCAGGAGTGGTCACCCAGAAGCAGGACCTCTGCCTTCATCACCCATGACATGCAAATGGCCTTCTGTCCTTGTCCCTAAAGATTTTTTGTGTCCAGTGTCAACCTAGGGATTCCTCTCATTTCTCTCTCACCATGGCTTTGAAGAAAGCTCTGTTTGATTTTACAAAAGATCTGTTTTCAGTAAATCCTTCCAAAGAGATGGCAGAATGCTGAAGATCTGCTCAAAACCCAGTAAGTTGTCTGATTTTTGCAAAAGAGGTTAAGTTTTTATTGTTCATTTTTCCTTTTACAGTTCTGCAATTCCATCACAGTATTTTTTTAAATAACTCAGGTGTTATGAGAACAAATTAGAAAATAAATAACTTATGTGGACTGTAAATGTTTTATTTGTAAAATTCTATAAATAAAGCTATATTCTATAACTGTTGCATGCCAAGTGTCCTCTCTTGCCATAAGGTGGGTGTAATGCAGACACTTAAACACAAGGTGGCAGTGTTGTCTCACCGTCTTGTGAAGTGTTTTTCTGATCCAGTTTACTCTTTTTTTTTTTTTTTGAGATTTATTTATGCATATAAGAACTGGGGTCCAGGCCAGAGGTGTGGGGGGTGAAAGGATTCACCAGAGACAGAGTGGGGATCAGAACTGGCGGATCTACTGATATGCACTGCTGAGGGGAGCAGCAGGCAAGGCAGGAGAGGTCTACTGCGCCATGTGGGTTAGCTCCCTATCTGGGGATCAAACTCATGCTGCAGTGGCTGGTGATAGCTTTATAGCTCTGAGACTTTAACCCCTGCACCACCAGGAGGCCCCAGCTTAAATTTTGATGAAGGGATTTTATATGGAACCTTAAATGTAATGTGCTCACTTTATAAATGGTTAATTTATCTTACCTGAGGCCTGTGATTTCCTTGTTGCTTGATGGTAGACGAAAGTGCTTCCTGTGAAGAGCTTTCAAAGTTCATTAACCACCACAGTTGTTTAAGGTGACACCCTGGTCCATTGGTCTCCAGGGGCCTTCCCTGCCCATCCTCCCTTGGTGTCCCCAAGCTGGGATGGGAGCCTATCAGTACAAAGCTCATTTACAGACTTGAATTGACATTGCTATTGTCTCTACACTCTGTTCCTTCTGGGTGGAGGCTCAGGTATTCACTCTGATTTCAGCACTAATCTCACAGAGAATGAATGAAAAGACCCACTGAAGTGCCTGTGCCTGAGAAGACTCCCTTTTCACTGTCAGCAGTCCTGTCATGTCTTCCTGGTTTTGCTCCTACCTTGTTACCTGGTCCTTGTCTATTCAGAAACAGAAATTAGAGGTGAATTTTTGGTGTGCATAGAGCAGCGAGGCAGGTGAACCAGGTCATTAAGAAGATCGACACTGGTGGTGCAAGGGGTTAAGTCTCAGCACTATGAAGCTATCCACAGCCATTACAGCATGAGTTCGATCCCTGGCCACAGAGCTGACCCACATGGCGCAGCAGACCTCTCCTGACACGTCCGCTGCTCCCCTCAACAGTGTATTTCAGTGAATCTGCCTGGTCTGCTCCCCATTCAGTCTCTGGTGAATCCTCTCACCCCCCCCACCCCCACAACTCTGGCCTGTGCCCCAGCTCTTGTATGCATAAATAAATCTTTAAAAAAAAAGAATAATACTCATGTAAAGATTTTTATATTCTTAATGATCTGGTATGAAATACTTTAACTTCTAGAGAAAGATATTTAGATACCAGCAAAATGAATTCCTTTCATCCTTCTGGAATGGCTGAATTACATTCTCTCCATGATAGATGACTCTTTCAGATAAATTTTTTAAATAGAAAAAGTTGGAGCTTGGAAAAGAACCGTAAGTCCTTATCAGCCTTCAGCTAAGTATGTTTAGAGTTCCTAGCCAAAAACCATTTTTCTTCCCAACATCACAACCCCTTCTTGCCAGATGTCTATTCAGGGCTTATTTTAAACAAAGGAAGGGAGTTAACAGAAAGTATCTTCCTGTATGACAGCAATCTTTGACCCTGGCAGAGGGTGGGATTTCAGGATGGTGGCATCAATTATAGTTTAAAAACAGCCCCAAAGTGTTCTAACTGGCAATTATAAGCCAAGAAGTAGTTCTTCCTTCCACCACGTTATGGGTTTTGTTTATTTGTGACTTGCTTATAAATCTTTGGAACATTGAATGTGGGCTGTGGGTATGCTCAGGGCCCTCCCCATCTTCAGCCCCATGACTGGACAAGCTTAGGCAATAATCTACATGGATTTTTACATAAACACGTGTAACAAAGCTATCAAGAAATTTCTTTTTTTTTTTTTTTTTTTTTTTTTTTTTTTTAGAGGCATTTTTATTTATTTATTTATTTTGTTTTGTTTGTTTTGTTTATACATGCACTGGGTAGTCAGAAGCGCGGGAGGGTGAGAGAATTCACCAGAGCCAGAGCAGGGAGCAGAACAGGCAGGAGGACGGAAGTACACTGCTGAGGGGAGCAGCGGGCGGCAGGAGAGGTCTGCACGCCATGCGGGACCCTCCTCTGGTGGCCGGGGAGCAGCTGGGGATCGAACCGGCGCCGCAGAGGCCGCGGGCAGCTTCGCAACCCAGCGCTCAACCGCTGCGCCACCGGGGAGGCCCTATCAAGAAATTTCTAATAGGGACCCTGGATGAGCCTGTTGCCCCAATCAACCACAAAGATGGTCTCATTGCAATAGACAGCTACTCCCATCCAGGGTGGGGGCGGCAGGTGGACCTGCACACTCCCCCAGCCATGGGAACCAAGTGTGGAGAGGTGCTCTCCAGTGGCACTTGCACCTTCACTGCATGGTTGGGGAAAAGTGTCACTATATTCTCATTCTTGTTCCCCAGCCAAAAAATGTGGGGCCTGCAAAATAGCCATCGAGCTTGCCTTTGGGATGGAGTGTGAAAAAGCAGTGACTGTAGAATACAATGATTGTATGTCCATGGGCTCTGGCACTCCCTGGGGGCCCATGAGGTAGCCAGCTCCACTGTTGGTCTTTTTTTCTTTTTTTTTTAAGATTTATTTATTTATTTATACAGGCACTGGGTACAGTCAGAAGTGCGGGAGGGTGAGAGAATTCACCAGAGCCAGAGCAGGGAACAGAATAGGCAAAAGGACCAAGTTACACTGCTGAGGGGAGCAGCGGGCGGCAGGGGAGGTCTGCGCTCCATGTGGGACCCTCCTCTGGTGGCCGGGAGCAGCCGGGGATCGAACCAGTGCTGCAGATGCTGCAAGCAGCTTCGCAACCCAGTGTTCAACTGCTGCGCCACCGGGGAGGCCCCCTCCAGTGTTGGTCTTGAACTTACCCTCAGGGAAGAAAGAAGAGCCTAACTCAGTGGCTGTCATGGACTGCCATAGCAGTGTCTCCATTGAGGTCTGCACACCTCTGGAGAACTGTGGCTACACTGGGAGCCCAAAGCCAACTTGACCTTGCCTGCGTTAGAGAAAATCTGAATACACTGTCGCTGTCAGCTGTACTATGTAGCGCCTTCTAGCTGCCAGCACACTGGGAACTGGGCCCTTCTCCCCTACCAGACTGCCAACTCCAAGATGAGCTCATCTTCAATAGTTCTGTCCTATGTGCTGCTCTTGCTGGACTTGTACCTGGGACTACACACCCTGTAGCCCCAGGCAGCTGGGGGATAGAATGTAACACTTGACATCCAAGAAAGTGGCAGGTGGCATGCCCAGGACACAGGGCATGCATGCTTGGCTAAGATTTTTATTTTTTAAATTTTTTAAGATTTTTTTAAAAATTAGTTATGCATACAAGAACTGGGGTCCAGGGCCTCCCTAGTGGTGCAAGGGGTTAAGCACAGCACTGTGAAGCTATCCGCAGTCTCTGCAGTCTCTGAGTTTGATCCCCAGCTGCCCAGGGAGCTACCCACATGGTGCAGCAGACCTCTCCTGTCTCGTCTGCTGCTCCCCTCAGCAGTGTATTTCAGTAGATCTGCCTGTTCTGCTCCCCACTCTATCTCTGGTGAATACTCTCACCCCCCACATCTCTGGCCTGTACCCCAGTTCTTGTATGCATAAATAAATAAATCTTTAATAAGAAAAGAAAAAATGTAATGCAGGGTCCTCCCTGATGGCGCAAGGGATTAAGTCTCAGCACTATGGAGCTATCAGCAGCCATTGCAGCATGAGTTTGATTCCCAGCCAGGGAGCTGACCCACATGGGGCAGCAGACCTCTCAAATTTCACCCGCTGCTCCCCTCAGCAGTGTATTTCAGTCAATCTGCCTGTTCTGCTCCCCACTCTGTCTCTGGTGAATCCTCTCACCCCTCCCGCACACCTCTGGCCTACACCCCAGCTCTTGTATGCATAAATAAGTAAAATAAATCTTTAAAAAGAAAAGATAAATGTAATGCAGCTTTGCAAGTTAGTTTAAATAAAAAAGTTCTTAGAAGAGGGTATAAATTTGGTGCTTTTTGAATAAATAAAGATAAAAACAGCTAATACAATTGATTAATGCAAGGTTGGGATTTTGTCTTTGTCTTCAACCAAAAGGACCCAGGATCCTTATTTTTTTTTAAGGTTTATTTACTTATACAAGAAATGGGGTACAGGTCAGAGGTGCGGCAGGGCGAGAGAATTCACCTGAGACAGAGTGGGGCTCAGAACAGGTAGATGGACCAAAGACACTGCTGAGAGGAGTAGCAGGCGAGACAGGAGAGGTCTGCTGTGCCATGTGTGTAGCTCCCTGGCTGGCCGGGAATCGAACTGGCGCTGCAGAGGCTGTGGACAGCTTCACAGCGCAGCGCTCAACCCGCTGTACCACCGGGGAGGCCCCAGGACACAGGATCTTAGGTTCACAAGAATGGGTTTGTGTTAATTCTGTGATTGGCTGTGTGAACTTGGATAATGTCTAACCTCTCTGCATGTCAGTGTCTTTTTCTATGAGTATAGAAATGATCACTTCTGTATTCCCTAGCTCCATAACCATAATGAGAACTAAATGTGTAAAAAAGAGCTTTATAAATTAAAACTCTATACCAGGGATAATTAACATTCTGTGGTTTGGATTCCTTTGAGAATCTGAAAAATGTATGCTTTCTCACACATTTCTCGTACAGCCCCCAAAGCACTTACACATGCACTTAAAAAACATCAGTCTCATAGTTAGGAGCAGGCTGGGTGGGAAATGCTTTAAAACCTTTGCACAGGGCCTCCCTGGTGGCACAAGGGGCTAAGACACAACCTATGAAGCTGTCCACAGCCACTGCAGCATGAGTTTGATCCCTCGCCAGGAAGCAACCCACATGATGCAGCAGACCTCTCCTGACTTGCCTGCGGCTCCTCTCAGCAGTGTATTTCAGTCAATCTGCCTGTTCTGCTCCCCACTCAGTCTCTGGTGAATCCTCTCACTCCCTATATGTTTGGCCTACACCCCAGTTCTTGTATGTATAAATAAATAAATCTAAATAAATAAATA